ATTATAACGATTTACGGACAGGGCCTGCCGTTTATCTGCTTTCCCTTTTCCATTTCAATTCTAACTCAAGATTTCAGCAGTGTAGTTCTGATAAGGATTCTATTCTAAACGTTTACGTTACTTGCTGATTCTTTTGTGAAGTCTGCAAATCAATGTGTGTGTTTCCGAGTGCCTTTAGTAAAGCCCTAACGTTATCGAGTTCCTCTTCTTTTGTCTTTTCTCTTGTAACTAAAGCTTTGACATACTGTGAATAGAATGTCTATACCTCAATGAGGCCAAAAAGCGGGAATTTTGTCAAAGGTTGATTTTGTGAGCATTTCTTGTGAATGTAATTAGCTGTTATAGATATGGGTTTCTAAATTGTTAATTTGTTGTAGCTTACTTGTTATTAAAGGGTATTCTCATTTTGTTGTTCATAAATCAAGCGTTGTCATGGCTGTAAAGCTGATGCGCCTCGATATCTGTATAATGGTGTTATTTTTCTTTGCAACTCTTTTCATTAACTAGTTTTCACTAATTACTCCTTACAATTAAAGAAGCTCTACATTACTTCCCATTTTTAGTTAAGTGATCTCGTTTTCTGGCAACGCAGAAGTTTTGAATTTTTTTTTTGTTGTGATGAGTCTTATCACAAGCCTCTCATAGCATACAGAGTGTTCCAGGAAGGTGCTTCCAGCAAGCTGGCCGTACCGCGCTTACTGCACGACCGATAGCAGCGGAGGCCAGCAGCAGCGACAGTATGGCTTATTATGGCAATCATGGAAAAGGACGCACCAAAAATCACCACAACAATTTTGACCGCGATGAGCCGAACGGGTGTCTCAATCCTAATTGTCGTATAAAGCATTATCATTTTGAAATTGCTATAGGTTCAAAAACCCACAATACGGCCCGCATGTGCAGTTAATTGACGCGAATTGGGAACGGCAAGTGACAGCAAAGCTGGATGAGTTCATGAATGGGACCACTACAGGTAGTTTTTGCGCTTTGAGTGATGAGATCATTTGTCAGCGTGTCATGTGGGTTCAGAGCTTTGCTTTCCACCCATGGAAAGACCTGAACGGCGGCGCTTGCATGAACTAGCTAGACGTAAAGGATTACAAACATCGAGCGAAGGGTTAGTGTGGCTTGAATTTATGGGTTGTTAGTAATGATTTTGTTCTGCTGCAGAAGAGAGCCAAACCGAAGATGTGTTGT